TGCTGGAAGAAAGGAACTGTCAATCCCAAGTCCTGTACCAAATGAAAATATCTTTCAATAATGAAGGGAAAATCTGGACATTCTCAGATGGAGGAAAACAGAATTTGTCTCCAGGAGCGTGGATAGAGGCAATTTTATAAGCAAGGAAACAATAAAAGAGGGAACCTTGGAGCATTTGTGTGCAGTAAAGAGTTAACATAACAGGCTTGAGACTGCTATTCTTAGGAAATCCTGCTTTGGCTGGCATTGGGATCTTGCATTTCTGGAGGGTTAGCACCATTCTCAGAACTGATAAGAATGGTTCACTGTGCCTAAAAGTATGCAAACCGTAGGGTTTGTGCTGAAAGTGCCTGTGTGACCAGTCCCCACTAAAAAAGTTTGGCACTGAGCCTCTAATGAGCTTCCTTGTTAGACAACATTTAACACACGTTATCACCAAGTCCTTGGTGGAGGAGTTAAGTGGGTCATGTGTTACTCTACTGGGAGAGGATTCTTGGAAGCTTGTACCTGGTTTCCTTTGGATTTTGTCTCTTGTACCATTTCTCTTTTGCTTTGTATCCCTTTGTAGCCATGTGTACAACTATATGATGAGTGTTACAAGTCCTAGTGAATATCAAACCTGGGGGTGGTCTTGGGGACCCCTGACACAATCAGGAAGAAAGAAAACATAGGAAAAATAGGGGTAAATATAGGAGGCACTCCTCTTACACATGAATTTTCCAAACTAATTTTGATGGTTGAAGCCAAAATTATTACACAGTCTGATGTGATTCTAAATATAGAGAAAGGAACTACTTAAAATTACCAGAAGGGCGAGAGGATGTAACGGGAGGTAAAGTTTCTATACTTCATTAAACTGGAAAATGAAGATACCAGTAGACTGATTAGTTATAATGTAGCTCCTAGAGTAACCACTAAAAATGCTGTACACACACAGAAATCCCCAAAATGTGGAGGTGTGGGAAAACCAGAGATAAAGGAATAAACTGGACCACCCTGCCCTAGGACCTCGCTGCCCTTGGCGTGGGGGGTGGGTGTCTTTTTTATGATAATCACCTGTGACCAACAAAGAATAACCAGACCCTAAAAAGAAAGCTATTGAAGGTGTTATCACTAGTCCTTGCTCAATGGTGATATCAGTAGAAATGTTCAAAGGGTTTAAGTTCCCTGGTTAGCTTTCTATAAACAATCAAGCCTAAAGGCCCTTGTTGGGAACCCTGTCAGGACCCCCTCACTCTTTTTTTTAGGACCCCTCTCACTCTTGAGAGCTTTTTCTATATCTTCATTTAATAAACTTCTATTGCTTTACTCACACACACACACACACACACAAATGCTATACAAAGAAATACACAGAAAGCACTGGATAAATCAAAATAGAATTCTAAAAAAAAAAAAAAAAGTCCAGGTAACCCAAAAGAAGTCAGTAAAAGAAAATGAAGCAAAAAGAATGATCTAAATACACCAACCAAAAGAGACAGACTGGCATAGTAGACTAAGAAAAAAAACAACAACAACAAACCCTATATTCTGTCTAAATGAAACTTAAGATATTATCACATAGGCAAGTTAAAAGGATAAAAAGAAACATGCAAACATTAATCAAAGGAAAGGTGGAGTGGCTTTATTAAATCAAGTAAGGTAGATTTCAGAGCAAGGAAAGTTACCAGACACAGGATGCTAAATGGTCAATTCCAGGAAGACAGTGATCCTTCATATATATGCATCACATATATAACAGTTTCACCATATGTGAAGAGAAAACTCAAAGAAGAAATAGACAAATCAACGACTGGGAGACTTCAACACCCATCTCACAATGATGGAAATACTAGACCCCAAATCAGTAAGAGTTTGTCATTACTATCAACCACAGAATCTAATCTTTACAGAACACTTTACCCAACAATAGCAGAATACATATTCTTTTCAGATGCTCACAAAAACATACACCAAGATAGACATATCCTGAGCCGTAAAACATAAGAATTTGTTTACCTTAACAAATGTAAAGAACTGATACAGGTGTGTTCTCTGACCACAGTGAAATCAAAATTGAAATCAGTAAAAGTTGACAGAAAAGTCTATACACTTACACTACACGCTTTTAAATAATACATGCATCAAAAATGAAGTTTCAAGGGAAATAAAAACATATATGAAAGAGAAATGAGAGGAAAATACAATATATCAAAGTATGTGGAATACAGCAAAAGCAGTCCTGAGAGGAAAACCTGTGGCACTGAACATGTGTGTTAGAAAAGAGGAGGAGTCTCAAGTCAATAAGCTTCTACCTCAGGAACCTAGAAAAATAAGAGCAAAATAAACCCAGAGGAAACAAATAGAAGGAAATAATAGTGATAAAAGCAGAAATCAGTGAAACTGAAAATAAATAGAATAGAGAAGATCAGTTAAAGAGCTACTCTTCTGAAAATAACAATGAAACATCCTCTAACAATACTAAGAAAAAAAAAGTAGACACAAATCACCAAATCAAGAATGAAACAAAGGGACGCCTGGGTGGCTCAGTTGATTAAGCGTCTGCCTTTGGCTCAGGTCATGATCCCGGAGTCCTAGGATCGAGTCTTGTGTTGGGCTCCCTGCTCAGCAGGGAGTCTGCTCCCCCATCTCATGCTCTCTCTTTCTCTCAAATAAATAAAATCTTAAAAAAAAGAGAATGAAACAAAGGCTATCACTACATACTCTGAAACCACCAAAAGAATATTCACCTGTAAATCTCACAACTTAGACAAAATGAACTGCTTCCTTGAAAAACACAAACTACCAAAACCCACCCAATTTGGAATAATTTGAACAGCTCTGTAACTATCAAGGAAGTCTACTTTGCAATCTAAAAATTCCTACAGAAGAACTCTATGGGCCCAGGTGTTTTTACTGTGGAATTCTGCCAAATCTTTAAAGAAGACTTAACACCAGTGCTACATGATTTCCTCCAGAAAATAGAAGAGTAAACACTTCCCAATTCGTTCTATGGAGAAGGTATTATGTTGATATCAAAATAATTATGTGCTATTACCAAGTACAATTTACTTTAGGAATGCAAGACTAGTTCCATATTTGAAGCTTAGTGTAATCCACCATATTAACGGATTAAAAAGAAAAACCACGTGATTGTATCATTTGATGCAATAAAAGCATTTATTTCAGAGAATTCAATAACCATGGTGGGAAAAAAAAGTCTTAGAACAAAAGGAATTCAGGGGAACTCTATTTGAGTAGGGACATCTACCAAAAAAAAATCTATAACATTTTTTTTTCCTCAGTAAGGCCTTTCTTGGCCACTTATCTAACATTTTTTTTATTGTTGATGTATACATAACATAAAATTTACTGTTTTAACCAATTTTAAATGTATACTTCAGTGGTATTAATCACACTGTTGTGAAACCATCCCCATTTTCCATCTCCAGCACTGTTTCATCTTCACAAACTGAAACTCTGTCCATTAAAAACTGACTCATTCCCCACTCCTCCCAACTCTTGGTAACCTCTATTTTACTTTGTCTCTAAGGTCTGTGTACCAGCTATAAGTGAAATCAAACACTTTTTGTCCTGTGACTGGCATATTTCAATTAGATAATATTTTCAAGGCTAATCCTCGATGTAGAATATATCAGAATTCCCTTGCTTTTTATGGCTGAATATATGCTACTGTATGCATATAGCACATTTTCTTTATCTGTTGAGGGACATTTGAGCTATTGGGAATAATGCCATTAAGGACTTTGGTGTACAAGTATAAAGTGGTAGATAGCTGGGAGTAGAATTGCTGGGTCATAGGGTCAGCTGTACGTTTAATGTTTGAGGAGCTGCTGGACTCTTCCACAGAAACAACACCATTTTACATTTCCCACCAAAAATGCACAAAGGTTCCAGTGTCTCCCCACACCCTGCCAGAACTTGTTCTTTCCCTTTCCTTTGGTAATATCTATCCCAGTGGGTATGGCACGGCATCTCATTGTGGAATAGTATTCTTAATGCTGTGAGACATAACACTTTCCTCCTATGTCAAGAATAAAGCAAGGATGTCTGCTTTCACCACTCATTCTTTAGTATGCTAGAAGTAATATAATAAAGCAAGAAGAGGAAAGAGAATGCATACAGATTTATATAAGGGAAGAAATAAATCTGTTCTTATATGCAGATGCCATGCTTGTCTATGTAGAAAATCTCAAGGAATCTAGGAGGGGAAAAAATCATAGGACTAAGTGAGTTCAGCCAGGCTGCAGGATTAAGGTAAACATAGAGACAGTTGTATCTCTCTGTCCTAGCAATGAACGCAGTGTCGCTGAAATTAAAAATATAATACCATTAGAAGTACTTAAAGAAGTTCTTAGGGTGTCAATCTAAAAAAAAACATATATGGATTTTTTTTTTTAAAGATTTTATTTATTTGAGAGAATGAGATAGAGCACGAGAGGGGACAGGGTCAGAGGGAGAAGCAGACTCCCCGCTGAGCAGGGAGCCCAATGCGGGACTCGATCCCAGGACTCCAGGATCATGACCTGAGCCGAAGGCAGTTGCTTAAACAACTGAGCCACCCAGGTGCCCAAACATATATGGATTTGTATGCTGAAAACCACAAAATGCTGATGAAAGAAATTAGAGAACATCTCAGTAAATGGAGAGACATACCGTGTTCGTGGATTGGAAGAGTCAACATAGTAAAGATGTTAGGTCTCCTCAAATTGATATAAAGGTTTAATGCAAATCTTATCAAAATTCCAACAAGGTTTTTTTGGTAGATATAAAGATTCTAAAATTTATATGGAAAGGACATGTCTTAGAATAGCTAAAATAACCTTTAAAATGAAGAATAAGGTGGGAGGAATTGGTCTAGCTGATTTCAAGACTTACTCCATAGGTAATCAAAACTGTGTTTTTGACAGCATCATAGACATAAGATCAAGAGAAGAAAGGAGAGGACCCCTAATTAGACCCATGAGCAGTGTGAGAAGGGGATTAATAGTCTTGAACACATGGCACTAGAGTTTGGGTTAAAAGCAGGATCTGTGAATCTCACCAGGGTGCCCCACACCAGCATTCTTCCTGATTTGGCCCTGGTTAGTGGCTTAGGTTAGGTTGACTAGTGCATGTGCCTGGCTTCTGGGTGAACCGGAATGTGTTTGTATTTCAGGCATTAATGGCCTTCAGGGATGTGGCTGTGGCCTTCACCCAGAAGGAGTGGAAGTTACTGAGTCCTGCTCAGAGGACCCTGTATCGGGATGTAATGCTGGAGAACTACAGCCACTTGGTGTCACTGGGTAAGGACGGCTTGTCTCAGGTCTCAGACTGCCTGTGGGCACCTTAAGATTTTATGTAACAGCCACCATGCTTTTGGCTCAGAAAGAAAAATAGTATTTTCTCTATACACCCAGAGAATGTGTGGATTCTGTAGAGTTGAAAGAGTGAAGGTGTGTTTGGGAGGGTATGGTCTGACACTGAATTGCCAGGCCTTTTCTGAGGCTGGGTCCCTCCTCCAAAGTGATTTTACCTCAAATTTGGGAATACTAGTATTCGCTTAACCACAGAGGAGAATTAGCGTACTGCCTTAAGATTCGGGATCCCCCCCTCCCTTTTGTCATCATTTCTCAGCACTCAGCCTTTTTGCACCCCCCTGCTTCCCTGCCCCCTTTTGGGTTATTGCATTCGCCTGTTGACTGAGTTCTGCCATAGCCTCTTAAACCACTAACCCAGGGTCCCCTTGGTTTCTTTCCCTGTGAGTAGGAATTGCCTTTTCCAAACCCAAACTCATCACACAGCTGGAGCAAGGGGATGAGCCCTGGAGAGAGGAGAGTGAATGTCTTCTGGACCTTTGTCCAGGTGAGTGGGAAGCAGTGGGCAGACGAGAAGACTGGGCAGTGAGGCGCTCAGCAGATGAGGAAGGAGAGCCCGTGAACTTCTGGGGAGGGCTTTTCTCCAGGCCTTCCTTCCATGCCATCCCGCTCACCCAGAGAGGGCTTCCCTGGCAGCCTCATTCCACTCTCCACTGGTATCTCTTTTCCAGCACCTTTTCTAGTTCTTTGATCTCCCCGTTCTTGGGCTTTTGTTGGTTGGCCTAATATTCTGCATAGCATTTGCCCTCGGAGACTAAGTCTGCTGCCCTTGGGAGACACTGTCCAGTTTCTGTTCTTAACCTGGTAACTTCTTAGCGCAGCGGTTCTACCCCATAAATCCCCATAACCTTGTTTCTTTTATGATGAATTATTTAAGATTACAACAGGATGTGTAGAACTGTATGATGAGTGCCTGTTGTGTACCTTCCCTGTGGTCTAAGAAACAGACCTTAAACACCAGAAAACAGTCCCTGCACCTTCCCTGGTGTGTCCTGCTTCTCCACCGCGCCTGAGAATCCAGCTTCTGTGTTAGCATATTCTCATTGTGCCTCAATCCTTTTTTCCCATCCGATGGTTCCTTCAACCATATAGTGTTGTTTTGCATGTTTATAAACTTCCTTGTATATAGTATTGTAATGTACACATCCTTCTGGAAAATGCTTTTTTACTGACTTTATGTGAGAATCATGTTAAAATGTGTAGATTTAGTTTATACTTTTAAAAACTTATATTGATTCCATTATATGAATATTTCTATTTAAATGCAGTTGAATTATCAGTTCCCTTCTTTTGGACATTTATTTCCAATTTTTGGTTATTAAATGATGCCACTATATATTCTTGTTACTTCCATGGAAACAAGGGCAAGTTTCTCCAGGATGCATACCTAGGAGCGCAGTAGCTGGTCGTTAGGCACGGGTAGCCTAGAGGTTCTTGTTCCACATCCTCACCAATACTAGGTATTGTCATACCTCGTTTTCCACTCATCTCTTCCCTTTGCAGTGAAACCTCAGAGGGGCTTTGCTTTTCAGGGAGCAGGAGTATCTTTTCCTATGTTGTTTGGCCATTGGTATTAACTCTTCGGTGATTTGTCTGTTCAGAGAGTTTCCCTGCTTTTCATTTGGGTTGTTTCTGTTACTGATTGTAGAAATTCCATATAAATTCAGGGAACATTCACGTCTTTAATGCAATGGGAATTAATTTTATGTGAATGTCTAGAGGTAAGAATACAAAATTTTTTTTCCTGATTTATCTTTTTTATTCTTTTATTTTTAACATTCCTGGCATTTTATTTTGTTTCTAAATACAACCATGTATCTGGACTTGTGCTTTATACCTAACTCAGTGCTTTTGTCTTTAAGGGGAACTATTAGCTATAATTATGGTATAACATAAAAATATGGTATAAGGTATTACAGTGTAATAGTTAAGGGATAATTATGAGATATATTATCAAAATATAATAGACTACACATATTTACTTATTTGAGAGAAAGAACGAGAGAGAGTGAACATGAACAGGGGTGAAGGGGGGCAGAGAGAGCAGCAGACTCTCCGCTGAGCAGGGAGCCTGATATGGGGCTTATCCCAGGACCTTGGGATCATGACCTGAGCCAAAGGCAGACGCTTAACTAAGCCACCCAGGCATCCCTAGACTACACATATTTAAAGCATAAAATGTATAAAGTTTTGATATATGTACACAACTATGAAACCATTGCCACAGTCCAAATACCAAGCATACCTATAACCCCGAAGTTTCCTTGTGCCTTATTATACTCCCTGTCTCCTGTCAGTCCCTGTCTTACGCTCCTCCTCCTCCTCCCTATACCCAGGTAACCACTGATCTGCTTTCTATCATTATAGATTTGTTCACATTTTCTAGAATTAATATAAATTGAACAATACAGAATATATTCCAGATTCTTTCACTCAACGTAGTTATTTTGAATTTCATCCATAATGTTGTGTGTATCACAGTTCATTTCTTTTTATTGCTGAATAGTATTCCATTATATAGATACCGCAATTTAACAATTCATCTATTGAAAGACATTTGAGTAGTCTCCAGTTTTGACAAATACAAGTAAAATAAGTGTGAACACTCATGACAAGTCTTTCATTACTTTTGGATAAATACTTAGGACTGGAAAGGCTGGGTTGTAGGATACGGTGTATATTTAGCTTTTTACAGAACTCAAAAACTGTTTTCCAAACTGGCTATACCATTCACATTCCCACCAGCAGGGTATGAGGGTTCCAGATGCTCCACATCTTTTTCAAAACTTGGTATTGTTATTTTAATTTTGGGCATTCACATAGCTGTGTAGTGGCATCTGTGTTTTCCTTGACATTTACCTAGTGACTGATGATGTTGAGAATCTTTTCATGGGCTTATTAGCATCTGTATATATCTTTGGAGAAATGTATTCTTGAATCATTTGCCCATTTAACAATTTGGTTTCTTTTTATTTAATTTTATTTTATTACGTTATGTTAGTCACCATACAATACATCATTAGTTTTTGATGTAGTGATCCACGAGTCATTGTTTTCGTATAACACCCAGTGCTCCATGCAGTACGTACCTTCCTTAATA